TCAAAAAATAATGGACACGTATTTTTTCTTTGGGCAATCAACCAAAAAATGACAAAGTTATAGCGCGTCAAAGTTTGAGAGTAGGGGCTCGTGACGTCACTTTTGAGTGAAAATTGTACTTGTGTAATTGTAAAACGTGACGTCATGCGAATTTTCAAATCAATATATCTCTGCAATGTTTATATTATGTGCAAAAAGAAAAAATACGTGTCCAATACTTTTTGATAATCTATATAGATATTTGATATACTACCTGATAAACGAAGAAAAAAAAAATGTCATCATCCCTAATGTCAAATATCTAATACTGGCTGATTCTACAGATAGAGCGACATTTTGCAGTGTAATGGCGTAATGCATACCAAACCAATGCCCTACTGGTACCGAACGGTGAGTAAATTTAAATTAAACTTTAATGTTCTGCGCAGACGAGGGACAATTTTATTGTCCGCGATCTTTATTTTCTACACAAAATAGATCGCTTACAACTGCATAGAGTTATAAAGTAACAAGTCTTCCGAATAACCAAGGACACCGAGAGTTCGTACAGGACAAAAGTAAGCGGGCATGGACCCAGTATTCTCTTTTAAAACGTCTTTTTTTTCAAACTGCATGTCAATTACAACACAGCGAGAGAAACTTTAGGCAGCAACACTCGAGTTCCTCCGTGCTTCGGAAGGCACGTTAAGCCGTTGGTCCCGGCTGCATCTGCAGTCGTTGGCACCCGCCAATCAGCACTGGGCCCGCGTGTTGGGTCATGGCCCAATCTCCCTATTCCATCCATAGGGAAGGCCTGTGCCCCAGCAGTGGGGATACTAATGGCTGATAATGAGAGAATTTATCTAAGAATATTTTCTTCCTTATCGTGCGCTTTTCTGAATTTTCGGGCGTTAAATGTTCATTCGCACATCGTGTGCGTTCAGTCCATGATAAGTCCTCGGCGATTTTTTTTTCACGATTCAGGAACTGTTGTGCGCGGAGTACAAATGTCCCTCGTCTGCGCAGGCTATTAGGTTCAGTGATGTACTCTACATTAAAATATTTTTTTAGTAAAGTATAGGTATCGATTCTGACACGATTCTCTAAACTTAAAACTAAATTTAACATCCGTCTCTCCTTTTCATTCTGTATGGAGAATGACAAGGATACACTGTTGTCAAATTTACGTTTAGGTTTAGAGAATCATGCCAGAATCGACACCATTATATGGATAAAACAAAATGTTAAAAATAGTACTTATATAAAAAGTTTCTACATGAAGCGTCGGCAACAGAGCTCTTGGCTTTAAAAAGCCATACTTATGCAATTTTGTACTTGTAGATGGCTTGTATGTACGTACAGTATCCCTGTGTTTCTTTAAGATTAAAGTAAGTAGTGCTAGTAATTATAAGAGTTTCCATGCAAAATTAGGAAGGACATTACAAACCTAGTCCTACTGAAGAATAATTTATAATGGACCATTATTTCAAATGTTTTTTTTATTATTCCTTTATTTATTTAATCATAATCAAGCAACTGTGTTTCTTCAGGTAGTTCTGTAGAGTCCACAGTTACTTTTAAAATTGTAGATGTTGTTGTACTTTTTGGGGTAGAAACTATTTTACTGTCTGTAGTAGAAGGTGTTGTACTTGCTGTGGTCGACGATGTTGTACTTGCTATGGTAGAAGATATTGTACTTGCTATGGTAGAAGGTGTTGTATTTTCTATGGCAGACGGTGTCGTACCTGCTGTGGTAGATGTTATTGGACTTGTTGTGGTAGAAGGTGTTAGACTTTTTGGAGCAGGAGAGGTTATACTTGATGTGGTAGAAGATGTTGTACTTTCTGTGGTAGAAGGTGTTATACTTTCTATATGAGAAGATGTTGTACTTGCTGTTGTAGAAGCTTTCCATTCTGTGGTAGAAGCTGTCTCAGTTTCCGTAATAGAAACTGTTGTAGTTTGTTTGGTAGAAGATGATGTACTTTTTGTTGATCCAGTGTTTCCTTTCAATTTCACTTTGTCATCGTCTATTTCTTTTGATGATATTTCATCGAGAATTTGGATGATTGTATCAACATCATTTTGTGAGATCGCTTCGAGTTCATACTTCCATTCCTCATACTTATCCTGTTTTTGGATTGGCATACAGTGCTCTTGGCAGGATAATAGATCGGGAAATTTGTTGGCTGTTGGACATCCTCTCCACGTTGCTTCTATACAGGCACCCATGCGTATATCGTATGTGTACACTCTTCTTTTCTCATTATTGCACCTGTTTTCCTTGAAAGTGTCTTCACAAGAATCTGTTAAATTGAGAAATTAAAAAGGAGCGGTTCCGTAGAGAGAAAGAGACACTTTAAAATCTCAAAAGGCAACACTACTTTAGCCCATTGTCTAATGTAATGTCTCTCTGTCAGTGTAATTTTAGTATTGTGTCCTTTGTGGTGTTGAACAATAAAGAATATTATTATTTTATTTGCTATATTGATTGTATCTATGGGATGATTTTACTAGATTACTTAATGTATTTCAAAGGAATTTATAATATTTTAATGTTCTAGGCGAATGAACATGTCGAAAGCTGAAGCTGGCTTGGGTTTCTCCTGAGGTAATGATATGACCTTTTCAGCAAATTTTAAACATTGTAAGTTAGAGCTGCTGTGACAATCAGAAAGAAATATAGTAATATAGTCACATTTAACAGTAGATTTGCTGAGTTTGTAAGGAACAATAGTGTTGTCTTCGACTTCCTTGTTTAAAAACTTGAAGATGCACATATCGGAGCAAAGATATTGGTCTTTGAACATGTTCTTTGTTGGGCACCCTCGCCACATCGCCATCTCGCATCGGGACCCCGGCTTGTAGTAGTAGAATACTGGTGTAGGCTTCATCCTGCAGTCACTCATGTTCAAGTTGGCTAAGCAATAGTCTGGAACCACTACTTGAAGGACACACCAATATGGATTATTATGCAGTCGACAAATTAGAACGCAAAGAAATAGAGAGAATGAGCCTGTTGCTAACTTTCCTGTGTAAGTAACGGTGGTCATACCATCACATCTAATTATATGGTCTTGACAGACAAATAGACGGACAACAAAGTGAACCCATAAGGGATCCGTTTTTTCCTTTTGATTTACGAAACTTTAAAAAAGTGAGACACTTTATTCATCGGGTATACTTACGTAAGTGTTTTTTTTATTAAGTTTTTCCATACGCTTACCTCCATGTAGGGTTGTCAACCCTACTATATAATATAGTATCCTACTAAATTAGGGGATCAAATATACTATATTTCTATTTTGCTTAAAGCATATTTTTGACAAAAAAAGCTTTCTAAAAAATTATTATTATATAATTAGTAAGGCAAACAGCAGCAAAACTATATTTATTTCAAAAATAAAGTACAATTTAACCACATAAGTACTATATTTTTTTTATTTTTTTGCCTGCTACTTGAGGAGCTCGATGGCGCAGATGGTTAGCGCGTTCGGCTGCGATGGTTGAAGTTAAGCAACTTTCGCAGTGGTCGGTCATTGGATGGGTGACCAAAAACATCTATCTCGAGTTCCTCCGAGCTTCGGAAGGCACGTTAAGCCGTTGGTCCCGGCTGCATCTGCAGTCGTTAGCACTTGTCAATCCACACTGAGCCCGCGTGGTGGGTCATGGCCCAATCTCACTATTCCATCTATAGGGAAGGCCTGTGCCCCAGCAGTGGGGACATTAATAGGCTGATGATGATGATGAAGATGTATATTTTTAGAAGTAACGCTTCAAAAATACTATACTTGATAGAAAAAAAGTTGCCAACCCTACCTGCATGTGACTCTTTGATGAAATTCACTACAAAAATTATCGTGGCAAAAATACGAAACTTTAAATGAAGTTCGATGGCTCTCATTGTTCCTGATGAAAGTAGGTAGGTAATTAAGTAATAATTTGGATGATTAATTACCTATGTTTTATGGGCCGAAAAGTAATTTTATCGACATAATTACCCGGCAATCAAGCAATTATGTCCTTCTATTAAAAGTGTGTTCGGTACCTGCTCATTATAAACAAACTGCACTGTAAAAGTAAATTAAAAAAAAAATATAGAACCCAGTACCTTTATTTCTATATCGATTTCATTACATCCATGAAAGATCTATATCGCATTGGTTGAAATTTCAACAGAATGTATTTCCCTTTTGATTGTAGCAATCCTACTAATATTATATTTATGTTAAAGGGTGTATGTCTGTTACTCCATCACGCTTAAACTACCTACTGAACGGATTCGGATGAAATTTGGTACGTATAGAGTTTATCATCTGGATTGAGACATAGGATACTTTTTATCACGAAAAATGTTAGACTAGGAAAGTTTAAATAAACTAAAGAGAACGCGGACGAAGTCGCTAGCAGCAGCTAGTATATATCTATATGAAGCTATAACGAAACACAATAAAAAATAATTCAATAAAAAAATAAGAAGTCATGTTGCATGACTTTTTGTATGTGTTATCGGAAATCTGTAAACCTAATTCGGTATTCTAAATAATACCTAGGCAATTTAAAGAATGCCAAAAACGTCAAGGCAATGTATGAAATATTATTAATTTATACTTTGCCTACGTATTCTATACAATGCCGAATGAGCAGTCGACAATGTGTGTAAGAGAAGATAGCGCGTCGACTTTTCCTTTTGCTTGCTTTATAATATTCCATACATTGCCTAGACGCTACAAGGCATTCTTTATATTGCCTAGGTATTGTATGTAAAACCTTTGTACAATAGAATGCATCTCTTCAATTAAGATAAGTTCGACTTTCTCTCGGTCTGTTTTTGTATTAGAAGCAACAAGTAAACAAAAGAAATATAAAAAGATTGCATCGGCCGGGAATCGAACCCGGGCCGCCCGCGTGGCAGGCGAGCATTCTACCACTGAACCACCGATGCTACATTTATTGTTGAGAAATTATAATACTAATATTAATGTATATAAAAGTTTTTACAAGAAATAAACAAATGATCCAGTCTCACAGTCAATTTATTACTTAACATAAATTATAGCTTTTCTACACTTACCTAGTAACATAACTAAAAGTATTGATAAAATTTATACAAAAACTTCACCTTTCAAATATTATCAAAAGAGATCTGTGTGCTCATTTTGCATTGCATTAAAAATATAAATTAAAATTATTTGTTTTTAGATAGGTAATTAATAATAAACAAAAGGTAATAATTCGTTGTTCGTCTAATATAAAAACGCGCCATCTAGTTATCTTTATAGAATTCGAAGCAATTGCAAATGTTTCATACTCATCATAGATGGCGTCAGTTTTCAACGCATGCTCTTAACATTGCGTAAACGATGTAAAAGTCACCTGACAGATGGCGCTGTTTTAAAATCTTTGTAAAATTAGTATCTACAATGGCAATGGCAAATTAAGCCTGATCAATTTTAGTTTTTTCCTTCTTCTCAGCTTTGTGCCTTTTGATTTTTACGTGTAATATCGCTGATAGAACAGACATAATTACCTGCAAAAGAAAAAAAAAAATTAATATATCTCGTAGGTTGATACCATATCGTTATTAAAATTATCACATCATCACATTTTGGTATTTATAGTAAACTAGCTGACTCGGCGAACTTCGTATCGCCCAAAAGTAATAATTTGCAATAAATTAAAACTGCGACTATAATTTGAGATTTAAACTATCCTATCTCTCAAGTTGGATCGAACTGCACATGGTGTGCGAATTTTATTATAATCGGTTCAGTGGTTTAGGAGTCCATTGAGGACAAACATTGTGACACGAGATTTATATATATTAAGATAATATGGAAAAATGTCAGACAGAACTTAAACAAAATACGTTTTTTTTCATTTGCGCCCAATTCACGCCATCCTTGTAGTCATCATAAATGCAGTGCACTAGGAAAACGGTCTGCGCAAGAAACCTACGACCGTCAATATTTTTTGTATAAGTAGTACTTATTCAATCATCACTTATCTACTATTAAATAATATCAAACGGTTGTGATGTTACGGGGACCTAAAGGCTAACAACTAGACTCGATAACGTAGCGCTGTAGTCGGGTTCAAGGATTTTAAACGGCTGGACTGATTTCGATGAAATTTTACGTGTGCATTCAAGTGAACCCCTCTTTTTTTCGGGTATGACTTATAATCAAAATTTAAAATTATTATTAAGTTCGTTACGATTTAAATAGGTACATTTTTTTTAAACGTTTATACTTGTAAAAGACGTCTACTCAAATCGAAACATATTTCTTTGTTAATATATCTGAATACCTATAAAATATTAATTCCCACACAGGAAACTCTGGCTATAAGTAAAACACTTTTTATTTACTCTGTGGTGACTAGAGCCCAATAGGAGCTCAATACAGTACCCCTAGCACGAACCATTATCGAATTCGAATAGTTTGCAAACCGAAATGTCAATGTCAAATTTTGTATGGAAACTTGAACAGCAGCGGCACAAAGTACGTAACGAGAACTAAAAATCAGTACACATTTGACAATGGCATTTCGGACACGCAAACCATACGAATTCGATATTGGTTCGTGCTAGGGGTACAGAAATCACTACTTTACTTCGGTCACATATCTGATAATATGACTTTATTTCGCAATCTTCTACGTGGTAACTGATGCACCGTCTCCTGATCGGAGATGTCCTCCGTTCCTTTTATTTGTGTCTGCATCAGTTTATGGTGTGGTATTAAAAACGATTTGTTTTTTTTTTTATGTTATAAGACTGGGAAACGTATGGCCCGCCTGATGGTAATCGGCCACCACAGCCTACAGACGCTTGTAATACATAAAATATCGCTCACACTACGGTGCCTCGGTCTTGCACTCCCCTACCCCGAGGCACCCTGAAACCTTACTCACCGACAGAAACGCAATACCAGCAAAAGGTAGTGTTATTTTTACTGTGATCTTTTGTAAGGTGTAGTTTACTGCCCCAGATGCTAATCCCCCTACATCGCTCCAAACAAAAAAGGACTTACTTCAAAAACAATCAGGCTTATAGTCAACGCCAGCACCACATCTGACGTAGTCTTCACAACGTCATAGATGGCCTCCCTGCAGCCGCCACCGTAATATGTCCGTCTCAGCTTGCACCTCTCCCTGTCTCGCTCTTGCACCAGGTCGGAGCGGCTCGGATCGTAGGTGGGACAGCAGGCGATCGGCACGTTTGGTGGGAATACGTCCGGAAGGTTTAAGGCGCGGTAGTCGTAAGGGCTATTTAGACCGCAACAGGTGAGCTGTAGGCAGAAGGATATGGAGAAATTATCACATAATCTGTTCTAAATAAACAGTGTTTGAATAAATACAATGTCATCATTATCACAATAGACTATTGTGTGATAAGGAGAAAGGAGCAAATCTTCTTTGCTTCTAGAGCAAGGTCAGGTTAACTGGCTTATATTCCATATTCACTCTCCTTACTCTCTAACATCAAGTGAAGTGGGGTTATTACTTATGCCTTGTAGGTATATTATTGAGGTATGATTGTGAGGAATCCGATTATAAGGGGAAGCTCGAGGAGTTGTTCTATCTGGTAAGGCTACTTAGGTGACAAATCAGGGATTATATAAATATTAATGCTCTACGCAAGTTCACCCATCGTTAGTGGCTTGCTTGCATGTCAGTTTTAGTTCGTGATCTTGCCTTTATTTCTTCGTTATCAAGAAATGCGTTGTATATTACTTACGTCGTTCTTTGTCGACACAAACAGCTGCGAGTGCCTGGGGTTCTCCTGGCGCGTGAGGTCGAACGACTCTAGCACCTTCTGGTCGCGATTAGTGACTTCACCACCGTTTGCAGTAATGCCGTGATGAGGAGTACGATCTTCTCTACGTCATCAAGAAATGCCTTGTAAATTACTAACGTCGATCTGTATCGCCGCCCACAGCTGCACGTGCCTGGGGTTCTCCTGCCACGTGAGGTCGAACGATTCTTGCACCTAATGGTTGGTGACTTCACCACCGCCTGCAGTATTGCCGTGATGAGAAGCACGGTATTCTCTCATTCATCAAGAAATGCCTTGTATATTACTCACGTTGTTCTTTATCGCCACCCAAAGCTGAGCGTGCCTGGGATTCTCCTGGCGCGTGAGGTCGAATGACTTTTGCACCTTCTGGTCGCGGTTGGTCACCTTCACCACCGCCTGCAGTAATGCCGTGATCAGGAGCACGGTATTCTCTCATTCATCAAGAAATGTCTTTTAAATTACATACGTCGTTCTTTATCGCCACCCGAAGCTGCGCGTGCCTGGGGTTCTCCTGGCACGCGAGGTCGAACTAATTTTGCACCGTCTGGTCGCGGTTGGTAACCTTCACCATTGCCTGCAGTAATGCCGTGATGAGAAGCACGGTATTCTCTCATTCATCAAGAAATGCGTTGTATGCTTACGTCGTTCTGTATCGCTGCCCACAGCTGTGTGTGCCTGGGGTTTTCCTGGAGTGCGAGGTTGAACGACTCCTGGACCGACTGTTCGAGCACCTTCTGGTCACGGTGGGTGATTCGCACCGCCACTCCTACTATAACCGCCTGCAGTACTGCCGTGATGAGGAGCACGAGAGCTGCCTGAAAATCAAAGACCTCATCATTGTCAGCCTATTAATGTCCCCACTGCTGGGACACAGACCTTCCCTATGAATGGAATAGGGAATTATACTACGCGGGCCCAGTGCGGATTGGTAGGTGCTAACGACTGCAAATGCAGCCGGGCTTAACGTGCCTTCCGAAGCACGGTTCATTAGCTCCAGATTGTAAATTTTTGGTCACACATCCAATGACCGACCATTTCGAAAGTTATTTAACTTCAACGATTGCTGCCTAACAGGCTAACCCTTGCGCCATTGAGATCCTCGTCGAACAGCTATCAATGAGGTCACAATAAAGAGCAAGAGATATGAGTGATTCAATAGCATCTGCATTGCAGGAATCCTAGAAGCCAATGGGCTGGCCATTTGTTACAAATGTTTAAAGAAGACTTCTCAAGTCCAGCTACAATGCGTTCGACATAATCTTGGTCGATCTAACTTAGCTTATTTTGGAGTGGAACCCGTAAATAAGATTTTAAAGAATAAAATTGAATACTGCGTTTCAGATCAGTTAGGATAAATTAGCAAAAATACGGAATATAAAAAGTATATTGTCATAAATTTTGTATTCAGCAGTGGCATCCACTTAAGTATTCAAAGTAGAAAAACAAGGAAAAATCTAATCTTCTTTTGTTTACGTAATATATCGTTCTGATTTGTTACATTTGTAGGATTGACGTATAAAAATAGTAATAAAAACAATAGCTTTTATGCGACAATGGTTCGCAGCGCTTATGTTGTATAACACACACACGTTCCACGGCCATAAGTAACACAGTGGCCTTCCCTGACCTTCGAACATATTTTCCTGGAATAGGAAAATGGCTCAAATATAAAATCAAATGAGTCGTAAAAATTAGGTCTCAGAAACAAGCGAAGGACAGAGTTTGACGGCTGCTATGGAGAAAATTAGTATCTACGTTTCAAATTTACACGTGTCTTGTTCCCCTCTTTATATATTATTTAACTATGTATAATTATAGATTGTATTATGTTTTGGATAGAAAGTCAGTCTTTTGTTCGAGTCCGTTGTTTCAACTTATACCTAATTATAGTAATTTAACAAGGGTGGTAGTTAAAGTATTAGTAATCGTAACTAGTGTTGGGTCGCTACAGTGTTTTAATAAAGCACTTCAGCTCGCGTGATATGCCGCCTGAACAACTTCTACGATAGCAGTTGAACCTGAATATATTAAATTAGGACTTCAAGGCTGGCCGGTGACCTTGGCGTCTTGATGCTTAATCGTTCGAAGCTCTTTTATTTAACAAAAAAGTGCTAGACGGAACATGGATAACAATCGCCGAACCATAAACCTAACCCACGCTATATTTACTTATAGCTAACCGACAGTTTTTCAACTTTATGCCAAACACCACTTCTATACAACTATAGAATTCAAAACTTACTAAGTGTACGATGTGTTATTTTTAAATTAAAAAAAAATGAACGTATATATGTTACGTCTACCCAGGACAGACAGTCCAGTTAGGTAGGTCCAACTTTGAGAAAGTGATCTCTCGTCATATCCAGCTCGGATGGGCAGCGTTCGGAAAGCTACGAAAAATCTTCGCGTCCAAATTACCTCAGTGTCTCAAGACAAAAAGTCTTTGACCAGGGTGTGTTGCCAGTGATGACCTACGGAAGCGAGACGTGGTACTTTACTGCGGGTCTCATAAGAAGGCTCAAGGTCACACAGCGAGCAATGGAGAGAGCGATGCTCGGTGTTTCCCTACGCGATAGAATCAGAAATGAGGAAATCCGTAGGAGAACCAAAGTTACCGATATCACTCGAATGATTGCTCGGCTGACGTGGCAGTGGGTGGGATACGTAGCAAGAAGAACCGATGGCCGTTGTGGCCGAAAGGTTTTGGAATGGCGACCACGCACCGGACGACGCTCAGTGGGCATAGCGCCCTACAAGGTGGACCGACGATCTTGTGAAGGTCGCGGGAAGCCGATGGATGCGAGTGGCGCAGGACCAATCGGTGTGGAGATCCTTCGGGGAGACCCATGCTCAGCAGTGGGCGTCATACGGCTGACAGGATGATGATGATGATGAAACGTATATACAAGAAATACACATTAAACGTACAATTTTGCTTATTTTGTTTCGAATTATATCTGCTTATAATATGAGAAATTCTATCCATACATAAATTCGACTTTAACTTATGTCCTTCACAACCACATTCGCATTTATCCTCCACCTAAACTTATATTAAAAATTGTGAAGTCAAACTCAAATTTACTTTATGCAAATGTGATGTTTAATACAACTATTTTGGATCGTCCAAAATTTTGTGAGACAGAGTGTGACCCTCCTTTTTGTTTTAAAGTCTTTAAAAAAAGAACCTATGAAAAAGTCTAGAGGACTTACAGCGTGCAGTGGCTTCGCTTGCTTCCTGAAGACTGCCAGCAGCGCGTATATCAATATGGAGACGGTGACAGCAGCCAGCAGCGCCAGGAGAACCATCCCCACCAATTGTCCCGATTGCTCCGTGCTGAATAGTCGTGTAGATATCGCCCCGGAGATCGAAATGAAGATCTCGCCGATCCCCTTAAGCTGGAAATGCGAAGAAGATATTATGATAGTAACTGCTTTTATAATCAAAGGACCTGCCTAATACTAAACGTGATTGGCATGTTGCCCTAAATCCTGATTACATATTTTAAACCCATGAATGAAGCGGAGCTCTGGGAATGTTAGGCAGTGCATAGACAGAATAAGAAATGTTTTTTTGCTGCAGGTTTCTGTAACATGGTTACTTGCAACAGCATTTACTCATTATGTACAATCCTTCGAGACTTCATAAATGAGAGAGAGAAAGTATTTTTTATATTATCCATTTTACACAAGTATTACAAAAAGAATGAAGAAAACACAAAAACTAAATTAGCAAACTATAGTAATATAATGGTTAATCAGGAGCCTGTCTCAGCTTGATGCTGTTGCCACACGTTACTTAGCGAGTGACAACAACTCTGGTGTTCTGGCAGGCCCTGTAATGATTAAATAAATGACAAAATATAGACAATACTTATGGCGTAGACATGAAACTCCTCTGGGCCGCGCAATTGTTCAACACTCCACTTAGCGCTGGATGTATTAACTGACTCACTTTTTCCAACTCCAGCTCTGCTGTCAAGTTGAAAGTTAAGAAGACTAGTCATGGCAGTTAAACTTGCACTCTTTTGCAGGTTACATTGCTGCGCAATGAGCTAGCGCAAAGGATTAAGCTCAGTTAGCCATGTCTGTTGCGGCATGAAGTAATGATCATTGATGAAAACTTATATAATTAAGTATATTAATTTAACTTTTCAGTAACTCACCAAGGTCAATACGCAGAATATCACGAAACAGACTTCGGGACACCAACTGCAGCATTGAATCTTGCCTCTCAATCGCTCTTTCACTTTCTCTACCCTGACGAAGGATGACTTTTGGTGGTCCACCCTAGTGACATCCACTTCTGTCTTGGACGCGTCATCTTCTATCACCGCCTCCGGCCCTTTCTCTGGAGAAGGTTAGTTGTTTCTTATAAGTTATTTTCTGTTATAATTAAAAATTTTTAAGCATTTAACTGCTATATGTTTCAATCTAAAGAAAATTTTACTAGAAAAAATTCCACGCGGACCAGGCAGCAGACGGGGCGCAAACTCACACCCTTCGCTATCCTGGTGAATGCCATGCGGACCATTATGCTCTTATGTCCCTGACGGCCGTGTCGACTTTTCTCTAGCCTTTCTTAAGCTGCAAGTAGTAGTATTTTCTGTCACAATTTTATTTTAGTCGAATTAATAGGCTATCATCGTTTATTCATCTTGATGCTTGATAAGTTCCCTTCTTATTTATATTCCTGGTATTTTATTTGCCTTGGGAAGATGCCAACGAGCAACCGGTGCCCAAAAAAGGGGATCGCTCAGGCCCGGCCAACTACCGGCCAATAGCAGTCACCTCAGTATTATGTAAAGTCTTAGAAAAGGTTCTTAAGAACCATCTGACAGGATACCTAGAGGATCACTCTCTGATTAATGATCATCAGTATGGTTTTAGACAGAAACGATCGACGGGTGAGCTTCTAGCATATTTGACTCGTATCTGGGGTGAGTGATGAAGGAGGGATCCTTCTTACAACCCGGCATCTTTTAAAAGAGGGAGAAGAAGCAACATGCATGCCGGCAAGATGAGGATGGCTGGCGTAGCATAGAACTGCTGTACCAGCTATCTTCACATCTGGACTTCATTATCACTTAACATCAGGTGGGGTGGAGTCATCTGTTGGACTTATAGGTATAAGAAAAAAAAATACAATATCTATTTACTGGGGAAACTATCGTATTTTGCGAATGATAACGAAAAAAAAGAAAGAGAGAGAAAAGAACACAAGGGCCTCTGTTTCTATTTCTATGTATATGGGAACGATCAGCAATATTATTATACTAGCAGCCACCCGAGACTTCGCCCGCTTCAACTATAGTTTTTAGAGAATATCACGCAATTTGTCACATTGATTTTATAGAGTGTGTAATCAAAAAGTCGACAGATATTTACCCTTGTTGCTCGTGGCGTTGGAGTTGCCCATATCTTCCCAGCGGTAGGCGGGCGCAGGTAGAATGGGCCTTACATCCGGCAGGCCTGAGTATAAATACAAAACCTCATCAAACTACAGTTGGTACACTCGTCGACGTAAATTAATATTTGCTCTTTTTTTATTACTACTAAATTGTTAAGACGATAAGTAAATCTCCTGAAGTCCTCAAAGTTTTGTGAGTTTTTCCTAATTCCGTGTAATAAGCAATAGTGGCCTTAAATTTGGTGAATTTAATTTACTGAGTTACTATTAAGAAAAGAAGTTTCAGATTTGGTTTTTATATAATCATAATACTCTTTTATTTAACAGAACTCAATAGACTGTTATGTATGTTTTTTCCTGCTGGACCTGGTTCGAAGAATAGCTTATTTTACTGGTTTGTATAGATGCTGATAAAATAAGTAGTATATTTATTTAATTATCTAATTCATAATTATCAGACTAGAGACACAGACCTAAAACTGTTATTTTAGGGCAAATCCTGAGATTCGGGTTATTCAGTTGATTCCCTTGGCGCAATTTATTTTTATACCTTTTTTTACAAGTAATAAGGAAACATAAAATAATACTTTGTTATTAGTATATTTATAGAATAGGCATCACCTTTGGCCAACTGGTTCCGATGATAAATCAAGTTACATTTTGTATGACACGAATCTAGAAAAAACAGCAAGAAGGGTATCAAAATAATAGTAAAATATATGAAAGTATTTTTTTTTACTATAAAATTAATCAGCCTGTTATCCTTTAATGATATTAAAATTACTAAGAGCTAGAGAAAACAACTTTAAAAAAACATCGTTTAAGTAAAATTGCTGTCAATATATATGCTGCCATAAAAACGTGATAATAAGTATATTTATAAGAAATAATACGAGTAAACACAAAACAAATTAGTAAAACACCAATATATTTTAAAAAGTAGACGTTTTTATCGGTTGTGCTAAAATTCGTATTTATTTTAGATATTCAATAAAATATACCTATATACAATGGTAACAAAAAACTATTGTGTTTACAACAAACATAAAATCCCAAAAATCTAATAACATTTTTAAAAGTGGCCAGGGTAATCAACAATCTAGTGAAACAAAACCAGGGGTATCAAATGTTTACTTTCATAATTTTGTTCTGGGCCAACGAGCAGCGCAGCACACCCCTGCAGTGTGTGAGGCACTACTAGATGAGTCTAGAGGAGTGCTTCCACTTTGTTACGTGAGCTCTAGGAGCTCATATGAGCTCTAGGAGGACGCGCCAGTGGAATCATGGTTTAGTCCCGAACAGACTTTATATTTTAATTCTAAATAAAACTATGAAAAATATTAAAAATACATACACTATTTTTTTCATAAATCGACAACTAACATGCTGTAGATTAAACCACATTATATATTTAATTTCCGTTAATAAGATGGTGTTTTGCTGGTAGTTTGTCCACAAAATGTGAAGCGGACGCGCTAGGGGATGTCAAATATTAGTCCTTAAGGACATTTTTTTACTATTTCTACCTTAATAAAACACAATAATTATCGTGCCTTAGTTAGATCATACATTTTAGTAGCATGAAAATATTGTGAGTCCTTGTTTTAATATTACTTGTAATGAATAGAATAGAAATAAATTTATTAGCCTTAAACACAGTCACATTTAAGATAAAACAAGACAAAATAGGCCAACTAGGTCCCTGCCTCAGCTTGAATACTACAGCAACACCAGGGCTGCTGCAGCGCTGATAATTCTGGCAGGGCCTATGGTTGATGATACAGATAATAAATAAAACAACAATAATACACCAAAAGAAACAAGCATACCAATAAATACATATCAAAGAGAAAAAAAAATGGAATGGCTATTTAATTTTACATTCTTAGCCTTAAGACAATGCAAAGATTTAGTAAAAAAACAAAATAATAAAAAAAAAACAATGACTAATCTGTGGGAGGACAGAGTACAAACTGAACCTCCAAAAAAATCAAAACGGCTTTTTTGGCGGGATATCATCGAGTGCGGTTGGCGTCTTATTTTAATTATTCTTAAATTCGTTCATAGTCGATATTGTGAAATAAAATTGATGTGGTTTTGTGTAGCAACTGTCTGCGTAACTGAAGAATTAGTGGAATCATTAAAATATACGCTATTCCGGTCAAGTGGACGTGAGAATTTTATTGTAGTGTTGACTACCTCACAGAAGCTTATCGAAAAAGCCAACTCGATACATTTCGTGCCAAACACTCCAAGAAACATTAGAATACGTCACACCGACATTCTAATGTAAAAACAAAAAGAAGATAAATTTAATTAAAGACTAGGCTGTATGGGCATTGCTCCCTTTGCCTTCCCTAAAACGGGAGAACTTCAACAAAAAAAAACACTAACCTTAAACTATAAGCACAATTGAGTATTTATGTTGCAAAAATAATAAAAATAATTTCGCTGCCGATTTATGCCTGTGTGTAACAAGAATAGACAGCAAGAAAGGACAAACAACATAAGGCAGTATGCAAAAACAGCAAAACAACAAATAATCGGCAAATAGACAGGAATTCAGCTACAATTACAATTTTGCATCTTACTATACCAACGTGGTGAAAGCAAGATGGATGGCAAGATTTTTTATAATGGGTACTTCTTTCCTCCGGACAGCGAAAATTTAGCCTCCCACGATTCACCCGTTACCGTAATTCAAACATACTCCTATTGCCAATCCTAACTTGGACGAATAATCTCGCTACGGATCCTAAAGTTATTTTTTCTATAAAATAGTTCAAGAAAGTAAACCTTTTATACCCGAGTGTACTTCAATACACTAAACCCAACAATCGACAATGATCCATGGGCGTACATGCGCGGACGCTTCGATTGCTCCACATAATGGCCGACTCATGGTTTATCGCTACAATCTTATTATTTTATAGGTACTGATGCATATGCCGCATTGCAAACTTTTTCTTGACTGTTGAAATTGCTAATAAATGCGTCATTTGCATAAAGGTCGCACAGTTACAACCGCATGTTACCTAATAAAGGACATGGCTAAGAAACTGCCCTTAACGTGTATAATTATTTCGCACTAGCCCAAAATATTATTTTATTAATTTTAAAGTGTTTTTTATTCTCATACAACTTTCGTGAAATAATCATCTTAATTAAAGTATAAAGTTTACAAAAATAAATGAACAATAAATGTGCACAAAAAATATTTGTGTGAGTATATCGAGATAAACAATATTAATTCCAAACTCCTAAAAACTGTGACATATTTGGCTCTAATTTTTATTATAAGAAATCATTGAAAGCCTAAAATAAAAGATTTTAATTTTCTAATCAGGCTGTAAATAAGGTTGTATGATAATTAATCCTTTGATTTTTGCAAATTAACGAAATAAAACTTCACAGATTTACTGTCAGCCCGACGACAACTAATTAATTGTATTTATTTTTGCTTTAAAAATATTTTTTGTGAAGTGTTAATCAGAGAAATGGGAGGAAAAATTCTAAGAAAATGCGAAATTGATGGCTCTGTAAATAATTGACACCATCTTTTATCAATGGTAACAAAGTAATGACTTAATAGGAATATTCATAATTTTCAAGATTGTGACATTATCAAAGGTTCCGCCGTTTTTCATGGAAATTATAAATATTCAGCCATTCAGCATTAAATATTACTAAGTTCAATATTTATTCGATGCTAGAGCAGTGTTTCGGTACTTAATTCCATTATATGTAATTGAATTTCGGGGTAATTTGTAGGGGAGGGGGAGGGGGGGCTCCTCCCGACCCCCCCGCCATAAAAGATTTTTGGCGGAAATGCAGTTTTTTTTTTTTACATAACCTAAAAATTCATTAAATCTGTTAAATGTAGTGGAATTTCAGAGGAATAGGTATTAGGGAAGACCCCTCAGAGGGAAGGGTAACCCCCCCCCCCTCCCGGCGTCTTTTTTACAGAAATGATATTTATAAAAAATTAGAGGGGTTTTAAAGGTAAAACTGTACTTCCAGGGCCTAGAGGTGATATTTGATTTTTTAGTAGAAAAAGTCTCTATTAACGAATTTTTCTTTCAGGGGCTTCGCCGGCCGCTGCCGCGGCACGCTCGCTTCGCTCGCTCGGCTCGCGCGTTAAGGTCACAACACTAACCTAACCTAACCTAGTGTGAAGTATCACCGCACAAGCGGCTCATTAGAGTCCAAAACTCGCACTACACTCGACTCTTCAGGCGAAGGGACAGCAGAACTCGAGGCCGAAGGCTTTGAGGATGCCATGGTAGTCAGACGATGTTAATATCAACAGGAATACGAAAAAGCTCTCAACTGCGACGAACACAAACACTGACTGACAGATCTCAATAATGGCGGTAAATTGTTTGGTATACTTACTTTACTCTTTGGTAAATTGTCACATTTTGACAATAGTACCAACATAATAAACTTATATTTACCATAGACAACGAGAAACATGTTATTTTTGCATAAAAAAATGGCAGCACTGATCAAAATTGCTGTCAAAATTGACTCATAACCTACAAAAATATTAATTTTCAATAATTTTTTTCTCGAGTTCTATTCGTTTCCGCCTAAAAAGATTTCGTGTACGTGTTTTTAATAGTTAATACCTTGCGTGACAAAAATTTCAGCTTGCAACTCAATTACATATAATGGAAAGGTGAGCCCAGAAGATCACAGTACAATAACACTAGGTACCTTTTGTTAGTGTTGTGTTTCTGTCGGTGAGTAAGGTTCCACGGGGCTCCATGGGGCTCCACGGGGTAGGGGATCGGGTCAGGGTTGGCAACGGTGCGAATTATAGTTTTGGTATCGCAAGGTCTACGTGTCGCCGCACACGGGCCACACGCCACAGCCACAGACGCCGCCACGAGAAGCTAAAAGCGGCTATTAAACAGGCGCGGTCGCAGCCTGAAATTTTGGAGGGGGTCACTCACTACACTAATAAAAAGAAGAAAAAAAGGTATCTGGAATAAAATATACATTATTGCGACGAACGATGCATGTCGATTTTGCTAGAATTACCAAAACTACGTAGTTC